GTGGCATCCCCCCAGGCTCGGAACATCAGACCCTAAAAACAATAAAAAACTCCCTCTCTTGGTGGGTGCATCTTAGGCACTCAGCCCCCAAACAGCCCTTCCCTCCCTTCCTCCCTTAGCCCACTGGGCTGTAATTAGAGGATTATCTAATTTTCTCCCAGGAGGCCAGGGCCTGGGTCTATTCCCTTTGTGTTCTCAGCACCTCGGCCAGGGTCTGGCAAATAATGGACACTTGCAATGTGTTAGTTAAATTGCACTCTTGAGCTGCTGCCAACTTAATCTTCCTAAAATGCTGCTCCTGTTAGAAGCCGCCATCGCATCTCTATCGCCCATTGAGTGAGGTCCAGCCTCCTCCAACTGATGCTCAAGGACTTGTGACAGGGCTTTCACCCACCTGGCCATCCCCACTTTGTGCTCACCCACTTCCTGTTCCCAGCACAGTCAAAGGCTTTCCTATCTCTGTGCATTTGCTACAGTGGTTCCCTCCACCCAGAAACCCTTCTATACACTCTACCCCAAAGCTGCCGATCTTCCAAGGCTCATCTCAATAGCATGCTCCTGCACCTCCCAGCTAACTGTGTTTGCCCCATCAGAGTTTGAACTGCACTCTCCTAGGCTCTTAGCCTGCTCTGTGTTGATTTAGAATGTCTTGCAAAGGGGCGTTAAAAGAGGTCGTGGGTGGGAACGCCTACAAAATGAAGAGCAGGGTATAAATGCCAAGTCAGCCCTTGCTTGCTGCTATCTCCCACTAGACCCAGAGTTTTCTGAAGGCAGGGCCTGGTACAGTCACCCCAAGGCATCTACAAGTGTCTGGCGCATGGCAGCCCTTCAGTCAAAGTGAGTAGGCACTTGCCTAGTCCCTCCCCTGTCCCCAATATGGCACAAGATGACCTGTCCTCGGGTTGTCTTAGGTTGGGCTGGGAACAAAGTTATCAGATAGTCTGGCCATTCGCCTCCCTCAGAGGTTTCAGGCCTCGCACCCCAGGCCCCATGTCCCACTGCCTACTGGGGAGTGGGTTGGGCCTAGTTGCAGATTCCCCTGGGGCTGAGGGGTGGAATGCGCTGGCTGGCCAGGCTGAGGCGGCACTGAGGGCAGAAGGTGTTGGATATCACAACCGGTCTCCAAGTCCAGAGAGCCCTTCTCCATCCATCAGGAGTCAGAGAAAGGGAAACCGTCTTCCGAAGGGCGGCTTCTGGTTAGAAGTTGGGAATTCTTTCCTAAGAGACTTTTGGGGACATTGCCAAGGTGGGGTGAGACGTTCCTAGGGCAGATGGAAGAACAAGAAATCCTTCTGGATACTTCTCAGATCCTCCTCTCCTGTATTCTAACTGCTGCTGTCCTCATGACCTCTTCCTTCTCCCGTCTCCCTGTGCTCAGGCCAGCCTCCCTCCTGCCTATCTTCTGCCCAAGGGGTCTTTTTAAATATCACAGTCTTCCAATCCTGATGGCTCCCTATTGCCATTGAGGTGAAGTCCAAGCTCTTTTCTCATGAAGCTCTTCCAGCCCTCCGCTCCAGGCTGGGCTCTTTACATTGGGCACCTCGCTCTCATTTCCATGACACATTGCTTGCAGTTCCCCTTCCCATACCAGGCTCTCCACGAGCACAGCCTCTGCGCACGCGCTCCTCTCTGCCTGGAAGGCCTCCCCTCCAGCTTTCCCGCTTGGCCTGATTCTGGGGGCATATCCTTTGGGAAGCCCTCCTGAACCTACAGGGACCCCCTCCTTTGGGTTTCTCTACCCCCTGAGCTTCCCTGGCTGTCACACTCAATCAAACAGTTTCCAGAGGGGAAGGTCTGGGTCTTAATCCACCTCTGTATTCCCAAAGCTCTGTCACTGGCACTTAGTAGGAGCTCAATAAATGTTCAGGGAACTGAACCGGGCCTGCCGAGATCCCTTCTACCAGAGGTGATGACAAAGTTGGATGTGTCTGGAGAAGAGGCAGAATCCAAAGGGCAGCTGGGGTCAGCACACTGCCCCTGGCTGCTGGGCATCTTGGCAGAGTGGCCAACCCCTCTTGAAGCCCTCTCCCCCCTCCGGAACCACCCGCCCCCTAGCCCACTTCTCCACTCCCAAAGAGCTAAGTGTAATGCAGCCAGCCCCCAGCGGGTCATGCAGCTGAGATCAGGAAGTGTGTGTGTGGAGAGAGGGGAGGCAGTGACCCTGACCTCAGGGCCCCATGCTGCCTGTTGTCTTTTGGGGCTTCATTCCACAAAGGAGTCAGCCCCTCTTCTGTCCCCTGAAGGCTGTTTTCAAAATCATACCCTAAGCAGACAGTTTTATTTACAAGGAAATCTTGGCAGGATTTTGACTTGTTAGTAGAGTAGAGGTGGGGGGAGGGTGGTGAGAAACAAAAATAGTTGAAAATGATCACACTTTCTGAAACCGAGATGAAAATTGGTGTCTGTAGCAAACTCACCTAATTAGAACGAAGTTAATTTCCTTCTCTGTGTTTAAGGGGAGCAATCACTGTCGGGTGAGATGGTCACAGGTTGGATCTAGGGCTGGAGTTATGTGTGTGCGTTATGGACATGAGATCATTAATTGCAACGTTCATTATTGGAAAAGAGCCTCGGCTTCTGAGAGGAAGAGAGAGGTGCAAAGGCCAGTGAGTGAGTGAGTGGGCCGGCAGGTGGTAAGAAGGAAGAGCAGCAGAAAGGGCAGCCTTCGATGGGGCTGGGGACTGACTGGGAGACATCACCAGGAACGAGTCCTCCTGGGAGAGCTTGGCACCTGTCCCAGCCGGCCCCTGGCACAGAGCCTCTGCTTTGGGGAGACAGTCTCCCCTGGGAAACAGCGCCATTTTTTTTTTCCTTTAAAAGGTTCCTTTGCTCTAACTTCATTCCTACTTATTTTAGTTTCTTTACTTCCCTTCTCCCAGCTGGGGCTCTTCCCTGGACTTATCTCAGTCACCCTGATCAAATGAAGCCAGGGCACAGTCTTATAGCTTTGGGTGTAGGGAAGGCAAGATTTAGGGTTTGGGGTCTGGGACTCCCCTACCCGACTTATGCCGTCCCCAAATTACTGGACTGCCCAGAATCTGAGACCCAAGTGAAGAGAGATGGAAGGGTGGTCGGGATCCTGTGCTCTTGGCACCCTGCCCCCTCCCCCCTATTCACTCCCAGTTAACCCCGACGTTGCCAACTTAGTGAAACCTCCTGCCTCCTTCACGCATCTGCTGCCTCCAACTGATCGTTAACCCGATGGGCCTCGGGAAGTGGGCACTGCACCGCCCCCACCCCTGGCCCCATGCGGAGAGACAAGCCCGGACCCGGGGTGGAATCGGGTGGTGATGGGGGCCAGGGCCAGCGCAGCCCCACCCCCGCCCCCGGCCGTGCAGCCACTTGCCCGCCAACCCCGCCGCAGCCCTCCCTCCCTCCCCTGGCCGCGGCGCTCTGACCGATTTGGCCCGGGTGGTGGCGCCCGGGGGGGACGTGTGGGGGTTGGCGGTCCCGGGGAGCAGCCCCGCCCCCGCCCCCGCCTGCGCGCCGCCCGCTAGGAGTCCGCGGGGAGGAGGAGACTCGGGCGCGGAGCGGGGGCCGCGGGAAGCGGGAAGGGAGCGCGGGGAGCCGCGGGGCCGGGGCCGGCCCAAGGGCGCCCTCGCCTTGGAGCCGGGCGTGGGGGCCAGGGTGGAGACGGAGGCCGGCGGGCCGCAAGCGCGTAGAAGTTTGGCGGCGGCGGGGCCAGCGTCCCGGGGTCTCGAGGCGGCGACGCAGGGGTCGCAGCCATGGGGGCGGGCGCGGGCGGCGGGGCTGGCGCGGAGGTGGCGCGGCGCACGCTGAGTCCCCCGAGCTGCGCGGCCGCCGCGGCGCAAAGTTAGCCCGGCGCCCCGGGACGAGCCCCGCAGCCGCTGGCCGGACGTGGACCCCGCTTCGGCATGGGCGAACACCCCAGCCCGGGCCCCGCGGTGGCCGCCTGCGCCGAGGCTGAGCGCATCGAGGAACTGGACCCCGAGGCGGACGAGCGGCCGCCGGCGGCACCGGAGGACGTGAGTGCCCCCTCCCCCGCCCGGGCAAACTTTCTGGGGGGTCTGGGGGGGGGAGAACTGCCCCTAACTCGCCCCCGTGGGGGCAACTTGGAGGTTTCAAGGTGACGCGGGAGAGCCCGGGATTGGCCGGGTCCCCGCGGGCTGGAGGGCGGAGGGGCCCGTCTCCCCTAAACGCGCGAGCGCCACCCCCTCTCGGGCTCCCGCGGCTTCTCTGCGGGACACAGCCCCGGTCTCTTTGCTGGGGACCCATCGGCCGCCGGAGTCCCCTCCCCGCGGCTGGTGCAGTGCCCGGGACACGGCGTTTTCCCGCAGAGGCGGCCGCGTCACAGCACTGATTCCCCCCTCCCCTCCCACTCGCGACCTGAGGGCTCTCCGAGCCCAGGGAAGGAGCGGGCGTCGCAGAGTCGCTGGAGCCCGGCAGCGCTGACCCGTCTGGCGACCCCCTACTTTGCTCCCGGATTAGCTCTCGCCCAGCACCTGCCCTGTCGCGACACTGATTGAAATGAAAGCTGGCTGCTGTCCCCGAACCCGGCGGGAGGAGGGAGAGGTTTTGCTCCTAGAAGGGGGCTACGGAGTCCGGGATCTCGTCGGTGCCAGCCACGGTCCCTTGGCGAAGGTGGGGAGGGGCTGCCCCAGAGGGCTTCCCTGCCATCTGCTGCTCAAGTCTCCCTTCCTCGGGTCCTGGGAGTCATCACAGCGGAGCAGGCGCTGGGGAGTCCTGGGAACTGGAGTTTCTTAAGCTTCTCCCTTCCGAGGTTAACCTGCACATAGAAGCGGAAAACGGAGCCGACCCTGGGCCCTGCCGCGTCGCGCTCTCAGCGTGGGGAAATGGAAGTGAAGCTAGCCCCCCCCCCCGCCCTTTACCGCTCGGCACCCAAATCTAAGCGGGATACTCTGAATATGCCCCGGGGAGGCCTAACACCTTCCCTTCCTTTGGCCCCCATGTTTAAACCTCTCCCTTGCTTCGGGCCCCAAAGCCCTGAGAACCTCGTGTCCTCACCACTTAGACTCAGCCTTGAAAGAGACTGGGTGGGTATCAGCGCATTGGAGGAGCCCCTTCCTCCCGAACTGCAGGCAAAATGTTAGTGCTTGTGCAGGGGCGAGTTTTCCTGGGTAAGGGTGTCTGGCCCCCAGCAGGTTGAGGCCGTTGCGGGAGGTCTGATGGAATGAAATCTGCGCCTGGGAGTAGATGTGGATATAAGCTTTATAGTGAGTAGAAGTCATTAGAGGCCCTCGACGGAGTTGGACATCTTTATTTAGTCCTCTTTCAGAATCACCCTTGTTCTGCTCATCCCTCTACCTGCCTGTCTTGGAAAAAGGGACACTCCGCCCTCCTGCCCCACCTGAGTTCCCTCCCTTTGCTCAGTGCGAACTCATTTAGGGAGCTCTTCCCAGGGTTTTCCTGGTCTCTTGTGGTGGGTCCCTGAACCTGGGGAGCATCTGGGAGGCGATGTCAGAAACCTCGGTGATAAGTGTGTGTTTCTTTCTTTCTCTCCTCTTCCTCCTCTCCTGCATGGCCTCTCTCTCCACCAGCACTGGAAAGTCCTGTTTGATCAGGTATGTGAGCAGTTAAATCCCCCCTCTTCCTTCCAGCCCTCCCCGAAATGTCTCTCCCTGCTTGCGTGGGCTTCCCTAGCTCTGCACTCCTGAGATGGTGACGTCGGGTGGGGGTGTGGCTTAGGGTATCTCCGAGACTGAAAGACACTGCTCTCCACTGCTCTCCAGGTTTCAGGAAGTGGCGGTGGGCTCCACTGAGACACCCTTCCCTCCCTCCTCCTCTCAACTCCGCTTCCTCAGAGCTGGGTTTATAATGTGCAGAAACTGGACAATACATATTGAAAGCCTGGGATGTTTTCTGTATGCCAGGAGATTGCAGTCAGGGCTGGAGAGGTGGGGGGAGGGCTTAGGTTAACATGCGTCTCTGTCTCCACCATCACAGATCCATGGCCACCACCAGAGTCAAATCTCTGCCATCCTTGGAGGGTGGCTCACAATAGGGGCTCTTTTGAAAGTTGACTCTAGTTCTGTGGCAGGAATGGAGGGGATTAGGGGAAATGTATGTGATTGTTCGCCATGCCTAGAGTCTAGGTGTGGGGAATGGAGTTGGGAGCGCCAACTTTGGAATCTGTAGATGAACATTTGACCTTCAGCCAGGAAATGGTTCTCTTCTTTGCTCGGCACTCCTGTTGAGTGGTGCTGTGTATTTCCTTCTCTCTCTGTTCCACCATGCAGAAGGAGAGGAGGCAAGAGATGTCCCACTGTGAGGGAACAGGGAGCACTGGGGTCCTGGGGTGATAATGATTGTGCCATGAGGTTTGTGCAACTTGAAGACACTAGCCTGATTGGGCCAGAGGGAATGTGTTTTGTCGGAGAGGGAGATACAGCTAAAAAAGTAGCTTGGACCAGACCTTATCTTGTTGTAGGCAGGCGAAGCCTTTGAACGGTTTGTTACGGGATCCAAGCCATGCTTTGGGAAGATTGTGTGGGATAGTGGAATAGTGGTAGGGATGAGAGACACCAGCTAGGAACCTGCTGCCGTGCATAGACGTGAGCACCTTGACTTAGAGGATGACAGTAAGAATGGAAAGGAAGAGAGGCATGGTGATGAGAGAATTGGAAGCCCTCACTGGACCTGACTAGATGAAGGGAACCACATATATAACTTTGAGATTCTGAATCTAGGAGGAAAAGGAAAAGTCAGGGTTGAGGTGAGGGGATGACAAAATGACAATGTAGGTTTCAGACAAGTTCAATTTGAGGAGCCAGCTAGATGCAGATGCCCAAGTGGGACCAAAGACATGGAATTGCAGCTTGAAAGACATGGCTGGCCTGGGAGGAGCTGGGGGTGGGGATGGGGCTATGGAGGTGTCACCCATGGTAACACAAGGCCTGGCTGTGGTTTGGGGAATATCTAGCAGTTCCTGTCCTGATAGGGTAGTGCTTCTCTCCCCCTGCTCCTGAGTGCCACCCACTCTCCCTCCATCTAAGAGTACAGCAGCTGCTGGCCTGATGCCCTGAGGCAGTAGGGAGCCCTTGCTGCCACTGACACCACCGGCCAGCAAGCTGCCAGCCCTTCACACCTCTTGTCAGATTTAGAACCAGAACCAGGAACACAGTGTATCAGTCTTTTTTTCTCTGCTTCTGTCTGTCTTTCTCATTTGATTAATTTCCCTTGCGGGTCCCTGTGTGTGTGTTTACATTTTAAAATGAACTATTTGGCTGAATGGAGGAAAACTTTTAGTGGGAAGAACTTGGAACTCGAGGGAGCAGGGAGAATGTATAGCACCTAACAGCAGCGGGTGGGCTATGAAATCCAGTTTCTCCCACTGGAGGGAGGGCCTGAGTGTCCCAAAGATCATCTCCCTGTTTCTGAGAAGGCCTACCCAGAAACCATTCTGGACAGGCACAATGAATTCGAGGAAAGAAACTCTCAAAACTTACTTTGGACCAACTATTCTTTCTCTCAATAAATTCCGCCTGTCGACTCCCTGTCCCTCATGGAGCATGAGAAGCCCATTTTTGTCATCGTCCTTCCTGTTGGTGCTTTGTGTTGAAGCAGAGCTGCTCCAGGGCAGAGCTTGACCTCTGGCAGATATTCAGCCCCGCTGCCATTGTCCCCTGACTGTGTGAAGCCATCCCTGGACCAGTCCCCTGATAGGGCTCCGTGAAGAGTAGGGATGAAGCTGCACAGATGGACACACAACTTGAGAAAGATGCCAGGTTGTTCAGAAAGCTGAAGTGTTTCATCCTGCTTGCCTCCCCCTCTGGGTCTGTCTAAAGGTAGGATTTGGTGATGGGGAACTTGGTGCACTCAGGAAAGAACATTTGGCTGGGGGTTGCAGGCAGCCTCCCCACCATCTCATACTGAACTAGACAGCCTGACGGGTCAAACTGTGGTGAATGGTGTGGGACTCATACCACACCTGTCAAAGTCCCTGCAAGCTAATGGGACCCTGGAGTTCATTTCCCAGAGGTCAGTGGGGTGGGACGCTGGCCCCAGTCAGCCCTCCTTCCCTTCAGGATCAAGGGGACACCAGTGGTCACCTGGTTTCAAGCTGGGATCTGCTGGGACCCTTTTTCAGGAGGCAGGCATAGAATTGGACCAGTCCCACCATGCTGTCCAGTTCTTCAGCACGTAGAGTAGCTTTGACCCAGCATGAAGCTGAGGACCCCAAGGACTAGAAACCATGACCTTGGCCTTTTGGTCTTATGTGGCCACCCCTCACCCAAATGGTCGGGAGTTGAAGGTGAAGAAAACAGGTGTCCCCAGCCCCTTGGAAGTTTATCCAGCTGCCCTCCTGACATGCTGGGCATTTGTCTGGTCTGCTCAAGCAGGCCTGTAGAAGGCCTCCCCTGCACCCTCTCCTTAGTCTCCCCATAGATCCCAGAAGTTGCAGCAGGCAGGACGCCTGAAGGCCATCACTTCCACGCCTCATGTGTTTGTTTCCTATTTTAACTTCTGCTTGAGGGAATTGTTTTTTCATAGCTTTGGGATTGTCATGGTTTTTCCTAAATATTAGATTTTAAAGTTACCGTAAATATTAATCTGTTGTTACAATATCATGGTATTTATAGTATCATAATACTATATCGTATACTACAGTATTATAATACTATAGCATAGTATAATAGAGTAAAAATGTCTTATTTTTCTATTGTTGAATCTGTTGAGCTTACCCTTCATGATTCCTTCTGTTGCTTCAGACCTGAGACAGTTTTCATCCCTTTTCAGATCTCATAAACGTACGCTTCTATTTCCTACTACTTTTTCTATGATTAAAACAAAAATCTTCCAGTGCTTTACCCCATCCATCCAGATATTATTCCTGTCCAGTTACACCAGTGTCACCTATAAGAAAAGCTTCCTTTATAAATTGTTTGAGAAATGTTATCATTTGGTAAATTTTTATATGTGGTTGGGTGTATTTTAGGTTTCTGATCTATTCTGATATTTGCAGTTTTGCTCAGGTAATGTACCTTTTAGTAACTGCTTTATGTTTGTTCCATAGCTTTCCTACAGGCTCCTCTTTTTAGGGTTATGCTTTGATAGTCTCGCTCTCAGTCCCTTCCTGACCTCCAGGAAGGTGCCCTCACAGACCCAAGGTCAAATAGCCCGTCACTCGGTAGCAGATGTGGGACAAGCCCAGTTAACCCATAAAGGGCTACTGGGGCTGAAAAAACCATTCCCAGGCTCACCCTTAAAAATGCCTTCAAGATCTGCACACGTGTAATGAGCAAAAGGGTTTGGAGCAGAGTAGTACTTCACACGGCATGATTGCTTTCAAGCTCAAACAAGCAAGAGGGAAAAGGAACTGATAATAAATTGGTTATGTCTCCCTTTTCCCCCCCAACGGGGAGCATGCATTTCCCGTACCCAAAAAAGAGACCCCAACTTTGCTGATCTCCCAGAAGGAAAGTGGACAAGTCTTGATTATCCCACTGAAATGGTAAAGTGTGATAACCAGAACACGGGGCTGCTTAGGTGGGCTGCTGAGGACAGAACCCTTGATTTAGAATCAGGTAGACCTGGACTCAAGCCTTACTGACTTTGTGACTGGGGGCAAGTGACATTAAGCTCTCTGAGCCTCAATTTCCTCCTCTGTAAAATGGAGGTGATCCTCTTTGATTCCAGGGTGACTGCGGGAATTAAAAGGAAGTGGAATCCCTTCACAGTGTCTGATAACCAATGGACATTCGACAGTTGTCTCTTGACTGGGAATCAGAATTCACCGATAAGCACAGGGCCACTTCTGAAACCCAGATCCCCACAGGAAAGGCAGCGGCCTCTAAACCAGCTCCTTCCCAGCCCAGGCTCCTGGACAGGGAGCCACTTCTGAGCCCAGGGGGGTTTTCTGCCTGCTTTCCCCAGTGCCTCCCCTGCCCAGCCCCCTTCCCTCCAGCCTGGTGGTCTTCCCCTGGCTTGACCCTGAAGCCCACCTCATTGTAATCCTTCTGCAAGCTGGCTTAAGGGGGCTCTGGTTGCTGGCAAAGGTTCAGATGAGAATGCTGAATGTATCAATGAGGAGCCGCAGAAAAAAATACCTGTCCCATAGACAGGGTCATTGGGGGCAGCCTCTGGAACACAGTGAACTACAGAGAGGGGTTCCCAGAGAGGGACAAAGCCACGGGCTTGACTGGAAAACCCTTGCTTGGGCTCTACGCCTTCAACCCCTTAGCAGGACCTTGGAGGCTGTGACTTCCCTACTCTTCTTCTGATCCAGGGACCCCATCACTCATGCCAAAGTAATGCTTTTATTCCTGACCACTCACAGAAATGTACCAGATAGCGGTTGAACAGTGGGACCAAGGGCTGAGATCATTTGCTGTCTGGCTGGCTGCCTGTCTGCCTGTCTGCCTGACACATAACAGGTACATGCATGTTCAAGCAAACAACAAATGGAGCTACAGCCCTGCGTGAGTTGTCTTGGGTTCAGATCTCCTCTCCAGGAGCAGGCCCTGACGGTGAGGTTGACTTGCTCATGTTGGCCCCCTGGGGTCTACCCCCTTGAGCACCGTGGGTTATCAGAAGGTCGGTGGAAGCATCTTGTCCAAATCAC